TAGGCCAACCACCCATGGCCCCTCCCCCTGGCCAGCCAGGCCTAATTGGCCCCAAGTGGGGCGGGTGGGCCAGACCCCACCCATGCACGAATTCGTGCACAGGGCCTCTAGTAAGATAATATATTCCAAGTTCTGAGGATTACAATATGGATAATTTTGGAAGGAGTCATTAGGATGGGGCCCAGAAATCAGGATTTTAAAGATTCCCAGGTGATTCTAATGTGCAGCCAAGGTTGAGAACCACTGCCCTAAGGTAACGTAAGCTGCCCGCTCTCTGGTTGGGGAGGAGCAATGAGCATCATCTGCTCTTAAGTGCCTTTGGTTAGGGAGGACCGGGTCTCGTTAGCTCTGTTAATTGCTTGGCCGTTAGTTTATTTTGTCTCCGTTTTCCTCGTTCCACTTGTCAGGGAATGTCCTAGCTTTTTACTGACCTGCCTCAGCATCATGCCTTCCTCATCTCAGTGGGAGGGAGTCCTGCACTGCCCAAATTGGGAAGGGGCTGCTGTGCAGCAAAATGTCAGAAATAGCCCTAACCGGGTTGGCTCAGTGGATGGAGCACCCATCTGCAGACCAGAGGGTCCCAGGTTCAATTCCCGTCAAGGGCATGTACCTTGGTTGCGGGCACATCCTCAGTAGGGGGTGTGCAGGAGGCAGCTGATCCATGTTTCTCTCTCATCGATGTTTCTAACTCTATCTCTCTCCCTTCCTCTCTGTAAAAAACCCCCAATAAAATACATATTTTTTAAAATGTCAGAAATAGGGAGAACATTGAGGGGGAGGAGGGGGGAGGCCAGAAAGAAGGCTCGTGTGCCCAACTTGAGAGGATGAAATGGATGAAATGTCCAGACATCTGGGGTGCTGGTCTGCCCAACAACCCGCGGGAATGCCATCGGGAGGAGGGGAACCGGACCGAACTCGGGGCCCCTTCTCAGTGCCCTCAAGATGGCCTGTGCCAACCCCCGGCTGAGTGGGGACTTGGAAAAACCTCCTAGAGGTGCCTCCGACGAACAGACCCCTGAAGGGGTCTTTGTATGGCCATCCGCACCTGCACGATCCCGCCCTCGCAGACAGCCCCCCGGGCTCAGCCGCGGACCCTGGGCCGGTCGGATCCCGCTCCCACTGCTAGCCGAGCCAGCGGAGGAAGCTA